TAGGCAGTGACGTTTTGGACTCGCTTGATATTTCCGAACCCCCCAAAAAAGATAAAGGCATGACACAGAAACAGATCTCGAAAAACGAGTATATTTTGAAATTTTGGGAACTATTATTATGCAAATAGATACTCGTTTTTCGAATTTTGAAGTTTTGCAATTTTTTGACCTCTTTGACGATTTAAAATTTAAAAGTTACGCCAAAGAATTTCTAAGATATATAGTAGACAGGTTAATTAAAAATTATCCATCATTCTTTAGCAAAATAAAATTAAAAAATGAATTAAAAGTTTTAATGCTAATCCAAATATTTTCGGAAGGTGGGATAAGTTACAAGGTATGTATAATTTTATATACTGCAATTCATTACAACAAACTGTTCTCGAAATTAATAAATTATTGTCATTAATTTTCTTATTACCACCAACGTCTGCCTCAAATGATCGAGTTTTCTCTTGTCTCAAAAGAATCAAAACGTGTTGTCGAAACACCATGAAACAAGAGCGAATGTCAAGCTTGTCTCAAATGTCAATAAAAAAACTTTTAAAGTCTCTCCAAAACTCTAATAAATTTTACGATAACCATTATATATAACCCATATTGCTACTTCCAAAGAACGTAAACTATAATTAGTTTATAAACATGTTTAGGTTCTAAATATTTCAGCTAAAATCCATGCAACCAGCATCTGAAGCTACCAACAAGTTATCCTGCCAACTACATTAAACTATACATATCAATTTCAAATTTGTGTCAAGCTATAGACAGGATTTTATAGATGTTAAAATGTTAGATACATCTATAAAATATTTACCCGAATAATTACGACAAGACTAGGAAAGAAAGTTGGATTTCTACCAGCTCCGAGAACAAGCTGGTTTCCGGTTAAAATTCGAAACAAACAATCACCTACAAACAGTAAAAACCTTAATAGAAAAATTGATAGAATATACAGATCACTGGTACTTATATTCGTAGACTTTCACAAAGCCTTCGATACTGTAAAATTATACAACATTCTAACTGCTCTGAGCAATAGTAGAATAGACTACCGGCTTACAATGTTAGTACAAACATTGTATCAAAACGCCACAATACGTGTAAAACTACATGATATCACCAGAGAAATTCATATAAAGCGAGGTGTGACATGCCGACACTCTCTCACCTAAATTATTTATAACGGTCCTCAAATTCGCCTTTAAAGTGATTCCACTGATAGCGCCTCAGATTCGCGCTATCAGTGGCCTTATTCTTGAATCGAGAGAAAATTTTACTCCCCACTAAGCTAACTCGCTTTTCTACTCCATCATAGTTTCTCTCAAGATGGATGCCAACAGTAGAATCGGACTATATTAAGATATCCACCCCAACTCAGGGTTTCATCGGATCAAATCTGCCCCGGTCCATTTGGGCAAGGCTTAATCGTATACGTACCGGACATGGTAAATGTGCTGATTCGCTGTTCAGGTGGGGTCGTGCAGAAAGTCCACAGTGCGATTGCGAAAAATCTAGACAGACCATAAGCCATTGTGTTTCAGACTGCTTGAATCGTGCCTACTGTGGAAACCTCCAGGACTTTGCGGAATGTTCCCCAGAAGCAATTGAATGAATGAATTTAGTGCCATTCATTCTATTTTTACTATTTTTAGTGTTTGAATAATATATATATAATATATATGTGTATATTATTGTAATTTTATTTGTATATTTATCGTACTGTGAAAGTCCATACGCTAAATAAATAAATAGTTTCTCTCGATTTTAAAAAGCTGTATTCTTGAATACGGGGAGTAGAAAGGAATGGGAGAAACTATGAACAGTGTTGCCGGGTTTTCAATGAAAATTTTAACCAATCACAAAAGTTAATTATAGACAAAGGACAAGATACTGTCAACCGTCAACCTGATCACTCCCCTTAGTGGTGGGCCAACCTGCGATTTTTGTGTAGCTGTGACAAAATGTGACTGCTCCAGTATTGTCACTGTGACAAAAAGCAGTGATTTTTTGGAGCAGTTTAATCTTAACTGCTACCCTGCTATTATTGCTACCTTTGAATACTCCAAAATATATTTTAAAATTTGTAAAAATTTTCTATCTGACAAAAGAAATGGGTCCGTTGGTTGGAGGACATCCCGGCCAATTTGAAGACCTTCAACTGCCTCCAAAACATCATTAAACATAATATAATTCCAGTAGAGCATATGATTGATATCCATCTTTTATTAACTTCCGCTTTTTAAAAAACAAAATACTTCCCTAGGTTTTTGAAAGGTTATGTATTGTTATTTTCGCTCCCATTTACAATTTCTCTTACCTACTATCAGTAGAAATTGTTATTCCCTTAGGGAGTGACATTTCTCTCACACATTAGGAGAGTTTTTTTTCAAGAATACAGCATTTTTGATTTTAGGGAGCCACGCCTACTTTTACGTCACTTTCTCTTGCAATTTCTACTCCCTGAAATTCAAGAAATTCAAGGTTATTGAGATCATCCAGAATCTGTAAAGCATCATCTTGGGTTCCCTGTATGAGAGCCATACAATCATCCACATATCTTGACCAAAAAACTATTTTGTTGTTTTTGGTCAAGATATGTGGATGATTGTATAGCTCTCATACAGGGAACCCAAGATGATGCTTTACAGATTCTGGATGATTTCAATAACCTCCATCCTAACATCTCTTTTACTCTGGAACCAGAATCTGACAATAAGTTGAACTTCTTGGATATGACTATTTCCCGTAATTAAGATTCTTTAGAGTACAACATAAATTTCCTCTTTCTGATGATAATTTTAATTCTTCCATTGACTGTGGATTCAACTGAACTACTTGGATTATAATCCATTTATATATTTTTTCTTCAATTTTGATTTTAACTTTTAGTAATTTAACTGCATATTCAGATTTTTCTTTTTTACAGTACTGATAGCGCTCGGTGGACCATTTTATTGTAGTCAACCATCCACTGTCTAATATATTGTTTAGTCTTTTCTTACATTCATACTTTATGTCAACTTCAATTGCTCTCAAACTAACATCCTAATTATTATAGACAGGTTTGAGTGTGAGATTTGGATTATTCAATCTACATAAAAAAAATATACTATATAATTTTATATTTCATCAGTTGATTTCCTATAGTGGTGTCAGTTGGACCTTTGGTCAATACTTAGTTTCATAGAATTTTGAAAGGTGCAGATCACATAACTGCCCTTCACAAGCTGTCATTTGTCACATGTCATCTCAATATTTCCGTCAGACCGGAAGCCCATTCTGTCTCCGGCTTCTATACAATATGAAGCTTCTCCTTTTCAAAAATTTTTAAAGTGTTTGTTTATCTTTGTGTGTTGTATTTTGTATTGTTAAGTCCAAATTTACATTTATGACATTCTACCCACGTCGGATAGGCCACAACTGACGAAGTGAGTCTATAAACGTTTATTACATATAAAATTTTTTCAACCATAACCTTGGAGTTTTTATCCCAGTGAATTAATTTTCCTATTTTTATAAAAAACGTTTCTTTGCTTATTTCAGATGCCCCTGAAGATGATCTATTGATCGAAAGTACTTGGGCAAGATTAAATTAATCACCGTGTTCGATAGTTGCCTTGTATACCGTTAAAGAAAACTAATTGACTGGCACCCACGAGAAGACAAACGCAGCAGAGGACGACTACCTACCAACACGCTGGATGGACGAGATTAAACGAATATCCAAGAAATGGCAACAAGACTCGCAGAACAGTGAAGAGTGAAGAAAAATGGGAGAAACATATGTCCAGCAGTGGACAGAAGAGGTTGCATGATGATGATGATATTTTTTTTTAATGTGTAATAAATATTTATAATATAACTCTAGTTAAATAAAACTATAAGCCTTGATTTCATAGTTTATTAAAACTTCACCTCTAGCCCATAACCTTACCTTCTGTCGAAACTCATTGATCTCACCATTTAGCACTCCAACCACCTGGTTCAATCTCAGAACTGTCATCAATACACTTTTTAATCATACTTTTAGCAATGGCTACGCCCTTCTCAGCCATTCTATTTGACTGTGGATAATTGGGACTTCTGAATTTAATTTGACAATTCCATTTTTTGGCAAAATTTTCAAAATGAAAGCTATTGAATGGCACATTATCACTAAACATATAGGCTGATGAGCCATTTGTAGCAAACATCGACCTTAAAACTTGAATGATACAAAAAACAGATTGAAATTCCAATAACAATTCTGTCCTCAACCATGTCGTCCTGATCTTTGTGCTGTCATTTTCACTGCTTTCTTTAACTCAGTCACAAAACTATCAAAATTTTGTCCCTCTTTTTGGGCAATACTGTTGAACTTAAACCGCTCATAAATAATATTTGTTTTATGTGAGCAGTACTCTTTAAATTTATCCATGACAGGTTGCAACTTTTTTTCATCTCCTACACTAAATGAAAAATTGTGAAACAATTTTAATACATTATCTCCAAATAAACTCAAGAATGTTGTATGTTTCTTTTTTTCAGACTTATCGTTTAAGTCGGTAGCATCCATATAAAGTTTAAATTTTTGAGAAAACCTGTACGAGTTTCCCGCAAAATTGACATAATCTAATACAAGGGGTTCTGGAGGTTTAGATTGATTTTCCATTTTTCTATATAGCTAAGCTTTCCATAGCTATGCTAACTGGTTACTGTCATTGCTATCACCTTTTAGCACTCCAACCACCTTAACATTGTATACTTATGTACAACATATGGCAAAATATTATCAGTTAATATCCTGTTTGATTTGTCCCAACCAGGCTTCCAACTTTAAGAGGGTAATTAAATTGTTGAGGCTTTCGGCATTGAAATTTCTCTGTGTGCTAGGTTTGACATGTTCAATTCTTCAAATTAAATTACTGTCGGTAGAAGAGATGTAGAAGAACTTTTACTACAACAGTTGACGTATTTTAATAACTTCAAATGCCCAACCAAAAACAAATAAATAAAAAAAATAAAATACAATATATTTATTATGATACACAAAATGTACATTTATAGAAAATATTACCTTCCAAAGTTACATTGAACTGTGAAGATCACTTTAGTTAATTTTGTTTTACTTTACAGTTCGTAATTATGTGCAGTGTTGCCAGATCGTAACAAAAATGTGAAGAATAAGGAAAAAAAGAAGAAACTAAATCAATATGGTGTAATTGCATAATACCTGCTGGAAGTTAAACTGGAAATATACATTGCGAAAAAAGCTTTAGCCAAGAGTCAAGAGGAAGAAATTAAGTAACGGTAATATACAATTATTTACATGTGGGTGACTTGTGTGATTTGTTCAAATTTAGATGCAGCAAGTGTAGTTCTCAATTTATTCCAAAAGAATTTCTGTTTCTTATCATCATGCTCCCATTGCAAGTATATCCTGGTCTTTAATAAATACTTTAACATTGGAGTCATATTGCTTTTATTAACAGATCCCAATTTGATGACAACTATCGTATCATCCACAAAATCACCATTTCCGTCTTCAAAAAATAGTCGATGATGTTCTGCGATATGACTCTCCCATCGACACCATTGAGATTTAGCGTAATTGTCACTAACGACTAAAACGATTTTTCTGCTATCCGAAATACACGCTAAAACACATTCTGATATGAAATGTCCAACATTAAAATCCCTTTCGTACACACAGAGTTTTAGATAAGGTGCATAGTCTTCTAGCATTGAGACCAGTCGTACCACAAAATTTCGATCTTCGCTGCTATACGAGATAAACGCGTCATACTTATAGTTCTTTTTAGTTTTAATATTTCCCTTAGTCTTTAACTTAGCATTCCTATTGAGCTGTATTCTAATTAAAAACACCCAGTACTTAATATGCCATCTATAAAAATATCCTAGTATAGCCAAAGATGCAAACAATATTAGAAGCAATGCTGCTGGTATCACAACAAATAATCCGTGGTCAATATTACAGCGAATATATCCTTGACGAACTCCTTCAAAATAATCTAAAATGTTATAAAACACTTGTTTTGAAGATGCTACTGGAGTAAGACACGTTATACCTGCAGGTCTCAATACTTCTTCCAAGTGTTTGTCGGAATGTCTTGTAAACAGTGCGTATTGTTGGTAGCTTACACAATCGCAACTAAATGAATTATAAGCTACTGATAACGTTGTTAAGTTTGAAAAATCTTCCAACATAGCTGGAGTAAAATAGGCCAGTTTATTGTGAGCCAACAAAAACACTTTAAGTTGTTTATTGTTAGTAAATATCCTCTCCTGCCACACTTTCATCAAATTAAAAGACATGTCTAAAATTTCCAAACGGTTTAAAGCAAGGAATTGATCTGGAGATATACTCACCAGTAAGTTCCTATCTAATCCTAAATGTTTTAAAGATTTTAATTTTTCAAACGGGTTTCCATATTTACTAAAGTAAGTTATGCTGTGTCCTCCTAGTAGCAACACCTCCAAATTTTCTAAACCTTCCAGCATATCAACGTTAAGTCCTACTGGATAATTATTAGTGATGAAAAAGTTATTTTCTAGATTTAAAACTCTTAAATTTTTAACATGTACAAAAGTTCTGTTTTGCAGTCTATATATGGTACAGTTCTTTAAATTTAAATATCTTAATTTCACTAAACCTTTGAAAGTGTATTGGAATAAATGAGCAAGATTATTGTAGCTCAAATCGAGATATTCCAGATTCGCTAGCTTCAAAAAAGCTCCCTCTTGTATTTCAAAATATGAAGCCTTTGCACCATTTTGAGAGTTTTCTTTGATAACTAGTTTAGTAAGTTGAGGTAGTAAAATTCCTTTTGGGATGGAAACTAAATTGTTGTCACTTAATGTGAGACTCTGTAATTTCGGCATGTTAATGAATGCATCATCAGCAATATCGTATATAAGAGCCTCTGTTAGATCAAGAGATTTTAAATTGGGCATATATGGAAAGATTCTAGAAGGAATAATTTGGAATTGGTTTTTGGCTAAATTGAGATTTGTAATGTTTGATGAAGCTATGATTTGTAGTAGTTGCTTTGGTAAATGTACCCTGAAACCAGTTGAATATAAATTGAGTAGTTTTAACGGTAGTTTATGTTTAATAACGGTTATTAGGGAGTCACTAATGACAGATTCGTTTAAAAAGTTTTCCCCTATACGCAGCGCCTGTAAGTGTTTTAACGGTAATAAAAATTTAGGATGAACGTATTGTAGGTTGCATAATATCAAATCTAGTTCCTCTAAAGAAGAATTTTCCATCTGTGAAAAGGCCTTTTCCAAAATAGTGGTGAAAGTGTTTTCATTTAAAGATAGTTTCCTCAAACTTGGTAATATATTTGGGGACAAATTTACTGTAATGTCATATAACCTTGTAAAACCATTTTTGATCAAAAATAGCTGTTTGAGATTTCTTAGACCAACAAAAGTATCTGGTTGTAGTGTCTTCAAGATTCTGTTGTAACTTATAGACAAGTTTTCAAGCCTATCGAAATTTTCTCCAAATATACCTGGGGCAATATATGTTAAGTTAAAGTTGCCTTCGATCTTAAAATCTCTTAAAAAACTCAAATTACTGAGGTCCCCAGCATGAATTTCTGATATATGTGTTCCTATAATACTAAGCACTGGAGTACTTATATTCAATTTTATAGGTAGTGTGTTGCACTTGCTGATGCCGAAACATAGGGTGAAAACGTTAGGAACTTCACGGCATATGCAACCAGATTGATCTTCTCCTATGTACCGAGGCACTGGAAGGAAAACTTCTGCGTTATACTTAGGAGGGTCATAGTAGTCATCGTTTGGATTGAAAGTCGTCACATTTTTCACCACCAAACATAATGCAATTAACAGTTTTAGGGCTGATCTGAACAGCATATTATGACATCAAAATTGGAGTCCATATCCTTAAACAAAATAAAATAATTAAAATTTATAAATAAAGCAGTTAGATATATTATGTATATAAAGGAGTAGTCGTGAGAGCTACAGCAGAAATAGTGTAGAAAGTGTAGTGTAGAGAGCTATCAGTGTACCGTAGGCAAACTATTTATCAAAAAGAGAATATAGTGATTTATCAAAAAGATTTCCAAGGTACAACTTTCTAAGAGCACCCTGTATAGTATTACCTACATACACATTCTAGGCCCCTCGCTCGTGTCAAAAAGAGATTTTTCTTTCAAAATTCATATAAAATCTGTTCAAATTATTTTTAAAATTAGAATGAATTAACCGCCATCCGTTATTTACCCTAGTAAAGAAACGAGCTGTGACAGAGAAATAAAATAAAAAACTTAAAACGAATCTATTAACAAAGCTAACCTTTATTATCTTGTAGCGAATAATAACTTATTAAAGGATGCTAGAAGAATTGCATTATCTTGAAAAAGAAATAAACATTCTCTGTTTACATATTAAATTACAAATAAAAAGTGCTTATACGAAACTTAAATTAAAATTATATAGTAAGAAACAAACATTTTATTACTTAGCATTTAATTATGAATGAGAAATACTTATATGAAAATAACATCATACTTTATTCCAAATTTCGAAATTCGTTCACATAAAAAAATTCTATTATATAGAAGATATTTATATATTATATAGATATGTACCTATGTTATTAAAAAACCAATAAAAATTACATCACTGTTATTTAGTTCAAAGATAATCTTCGCCATTTAATAAAAAAAATATATAAAATTGGTACAACCTGAATTATCCAAACGCTTGTGTGGCTTGTAGAAAGGATATAATTTTACCAACTAGGTACTTAGGCTGGAATTTCAGAACGTTGAATCTATCGGCAGCAGAAACATAATATCCACTATAAAAATCTATAAAAGAAGGGTGGCTAAGCAAACGGTATATTCTACAAAAAACACACACCAAATAACGGTAATCCTGCGAATTGTTGAGGGTGTCATGTAATAGCGGTCAACTATAGATTCTGGTTTCAGAACATATACCATAAATCCATAACTATTAAGATAACATCCGGCCAACAAACAATTCTAGCAAGTATTAGCTCTTCCGGTAAGGGTCTAAAATAAATATTTATTTGAAATATAAAAGAAATAAGCAATTTTTCGGCTTAACTATTGGAGATCAACATAAAACATGCCTACTTATTGGTGAAGGACAAAAAAAGAAATGACAATAATTATGACGTTCATTGGTGTGTCACCAGCACTAGGATTTGATGAGACCAAAATCGGAACTACTATGAACTACAGTTGGATTCTTAAGAGGCAATTTAGATAATTTACAGGCGGATAATAATGCGGATAAAGAAATAATGGCGGGACGTTTTTACTATTAAAGTCCTAAAAAAGTAAGTGTAGAAAATTTAGAATATACAATTTTGTATTAAAATGTTTTCTTATGTAATTTAATGTGTCACAGTAGTCTTAAAACTAAGTGTATTTATTGTTAATATAATAGTTTGACAAAATAAATATAAGTTGACTTTTTAAAAATTCCTCACTTACTAACTATTCTGATGTATTGGCAACGCTGTGGGGTTCTGACGACGTAAATCTTGAATGACGTGCAAGCTTTTTTATATGAAAAATGTTATGTTTTAATTATATAATGAGGAAAGTAATAGACGAATAGGTTGCAGAAATCACTGTAGGAGGTAGAAAAATCAGTATCGTGCGATACACAGATGACACACTTATACTATCAGCAAATGAAGTCGAAATGACTACCATCTCTGAATGGCGAAGCCAGATAAACAAATAATTCAGACGTCAAATTAACACCGGAAAAACAAAAATATTGAGAGTAGACAGGCACGTAACAATTTGCCGCACATACACCAAGTGGAGAATTTTTAAATAATAGACAGATTTGTATACATAAACGTTAACCAAAAATGGCAATAGTTCCTCAAAAATCAAGCGTAGACTAGCAGTGGCCAGAACCGCAATTGCTAAATTAACTAAAATATGGAAAGACCGAACGATAAGAAGAAATACTAAGCTCAGGTTGGTCACTTTACTCATTTTCTCGTTGCTACATACGACAGGTGAAACATGGATTCTCAAAAAAATATATAGAAGTAAGCTCAAAGCCTTCGAAATGTGGGTTTACAGGAGAATTTTATGCGTGTTCTGGAAAGAATAGAGAACAAACCTGTAAATTCACTGGAAGAGCTTAATATAAAAGACAGACTATTAAAAAATATAAACCGAGCATACCTAATTTAGTTCGACCACATAGCTAGAAGAGCGGGAACCATGTAACTAGTGGTAGGAGAAGAAAAGGTAGAAGGCCGAAAAGATAGAAGGTAAACGAACATCAAGAGGATGATCTCCAACACGATAGGTAGACCAAATGAACGGCGATGTCATTAGTAAAATCATAAACACGATATTTTTCCATGTATGGTGTGTATATTATATTTTCTTTTCCTATTTTGGAATTAAAATCTACAATTATATTCTTGACATCCTCTTCTTTGTCTTTAGTTGCGAGCTGTAATAAATATGGTATTCTCTCATATTGGATAATTCCTTGGCCAGTCCATCTTATTTTTGCACAGGCATAATATGTACCTTACATTGAGTATTATGTGCTTTAACTTGAGTTAGTACGTCAATTAATTTTCTAAGATTTCCGCGTTCATAAAGTGTTCGCACATGCCTCGTTTTAGGGGGCATCCAAGTTTTACTTTACGCAATATTTGACCCCTCCTTTTCCTTACGTAACGGACCCTAACTTTTTACAAGACCCCCTCCTCCTACCTAAATGTTACGCAGCATCTAAGTGACCACTTTTCTTTAGCCGCTTGTTTTTCTTGTTTTAATTCAAAAAGGTCTAGTATTTCTTCCGTTATTCACTGAAGCTATTAGTCACTCTATTATGTTTTCTCATCAGTTTCGGTTGTTCTCATTTCTTTCGCGTAATTGTTTACAGCATTATCTAGTTTACTTTTGTTGATATCTTTACCAGGAAAATTCTTTGGCTGATGTTTTTTTCTCTATTCGTTTTAGCCTAGCTCTTGTATCAGCGACTAAATTGTTGTAATTAGATAGAAATATCTGCTCAAGAATATGTCGTAACTCTACTGATGGATTTCCTAAATTTTTGTTGATAAGAATATAAGAAAAAGGCAGGTCTTTAAAAAACGACTTAATTGGAGTTACTGTCGTTCCGAAAGCAGACAAATTCCGAAATTGTTAGACCACTTACATCAACTTCCTCTTAGTTGAGCCAATCGACATCCTCAAACGATGTTTAATTGTAGCACACAATCCAGAGAAGCCCATTTGCCCTTTTGTCAGCAAGTTGCTGTGGGATGTGAATAGATCCTACTGGTTGCACATATTCGGTTCTTGAAGTTCCATTGTAGTGATGGACCAAAGACATCGTAGAGCACCTGCTTAAATGCTTTCAGTGGAGACGACAGATCAACGGACAACCTCACAAGAAGTGGTGAAAACTTACATGATTTTTTATCTAACTGACTAGGCACCACAAGTTTACTTGGTATTTGAAGGATTGGGCAGGCTGAGTGCAGGAAATCCGGAAAGACAGATTTCAATGCACTTCTCGAGCGGCAACAGCAGCATTCATCCGCGGATTTAACCAATTGCAAAAAATATTGCGATTTACGGGTGTGAGTGCTGTACCATGCCAGCTTAGGTTCTGCTGGATCATGCAAGCTATCTGTAGTCTTTCTACATCGCGCCGAAGCATCGTAGTTGTAAATTTAGACGTTTTATTTTTCATACAATTTTTGATCATATTACAGTATGAATTCAATTTGAATGATAAACACTGACTACATCAACGTGATTGTGTGTCTTACGGACAAAGAAAACAGAACAAAAATCATGTACCACACAGTCAAAAGATTCCCCGTAAAACAAACAAAAGGAACAAACTAATATTGTACAATATACTCAAGAGATTCCCCGTAAAACGTAACATAAAAGGATTACCGACTTGGCATGCTTGCCGACCATGACCGGCCGCCACTGGTATACTCAAACTTCCCCTGGCCCCTAGACTATGTATATTTCTAAACCTTTATTCTTTATTACTAAGCTAACGTTTGGGATGCCAAAACTTTAGAAGAAAGCAGGGTTTCATACATATTATAAGTGCAATATTTATAGTGCAATATTTTAACGAATTTGTGTACTGATTGCTCATACATTCGTAAATAATATACAATATCGGCGAGAACCCCTTTGATGATGACTGTTATTCTAAATTAAGCAGAGGAATCCCGAAATCCAAGGTTATTTTCGTGGCTATATGTTGATTTGTGGTTTAATTTCACATTGTTTTTATTTTCGTGAGCAAATTGTTAAAAGTGTCTTCAATGAATAATAATTATAATACAGGGTGTCAAATTTAATAGGTTTCTATAAGTTCTTGGTTTTTGGAAAGTAACATAGAATATAAGTTATTACAGAAATTGTATTTAGTATGTTCTGGTTGATACCTTAGACCTTATGCCGGGTCCAGACCAAGCAGACAAAACGAAAACACAATTCTGAAACAAAAACACGATAAACCAGCGACAAAATTTGTCGTCAAAAGACAAAACAAAATTGAGACAAACTGTCCACACCAGAAAAACAAAATATAAAAACAAAATTGAGTTGGTGACGTTGTTGTTGTGATTAGTGTTGGTTAACCATGTGGCGTTTTAATCAAGAAAAAAATGAAACCGAAGATTTATTGCTAGCCGCAAGTTGTTTTTTTTTTGCTCTCATCATCATCCCAGGTTGCTAAAAGAAAACCCAAACGTTTTTGGATTAGACTAAGCCTAAAAATGCGAGAAAGTTGTTCGATAGAAAAATTGTTAGTTCAGCTGCGCGCAGATGTTATTGGACTAAGTGGTGAAATTCGATCAAGCTTCAAAAATTTTTTAAGAATGTCCACC